CAGGAAGTTTGTAGAAACTTTAGTGCTACGCTGAATTGTTCAGATGGTGACCTGTGCCTCTCCTCATCTCTGGTTTCACTGCCAGCATCATGGTGCTGAGTGACATTTTATCTTTTGTCACAATTTTGCACCAGTAGTTTAACCAGACCCATCCTGTGCTGCGAGTTTCGGGCTCTCTTGTAGTAATTGTTTGTTCATAATAGCTGTACGCTGTTTGCTGTGATAGTTGTGTTGATTTGGAAGATTTTATTTATTTATTTTGATTGGGAGTAAAGTTATTTCTGTTTCAGATAGGCAGAAATGCAGAGGGAGGTGCAGAAATGGTAAAGGACTGGAGTGGGGTATAGCAGAAGCAGCCTGCTTAGCGGGGTTGACAGAGCATTAGAGGAGCGATGGAAGGAACAGCACATTTTTTTGTACCTCAGTAAAGAATTCCTAGGCACCTACTGGTATGTGCTATAGAAAAGTTAGCTTTAAAACAGGGTGAAAACATGATGCTGAAATACAGTGAGGATATTTAAAACTTCACAGAAATGTGAAGAAAATTGAAAAATGAAAAACAGAAGAGAAGGCATGGAAGGACAGGAAAATAGAAGAAAAGAAAAACCAGCCATCTGATAGATTGTTTCCCTGTATTTGAACATTTGGATTGAAATGAAAAAGAGATCACTGAGCAAATTTTATAGATTTGTGTGGAAGAATAAAAAGGAAATAAGAAATATTAATGCAATTATAATAACCATATTGAAAAGATGAAATATTGATCATGAAGAATTTCACATAACCTGATATTGACTGGTCTGTATAATATAGAATGGAAATAATTGTTCTTGAGCAGGTTCGACATACAATAGTGGCAGCAATTGAAGATTGCATTCAGAAGGAGAAGTTGAAGAAGCTAGGCTTATTCACAGGAACAAAAGAAAATTGTGGTGACCTAATTCCAGCTTTTGTTGTGCAGAATATACCAGTATTGATAGCAGGACAAATTACTCGCACTGTCAGACATGAAAGGAAGTGTCACGTGATGCTGCTGTGCTTCGCTACTCTTGCTTTCAAATAGGTCTTAAATACCAAGGGGATAGGTGATGTATTGGTCCAAAGAACATTATGGCTCACCATTTTCTGAGAAACTGCTGTGACTCTTCTCGGGACTGTGCCCCATGCCTTCTGCACTGGTGTGTGGTAAGACCATTCCTTGAAATGCAGTGTCCTCCCAGTTTTCTGCCCGTATCATCCCACACGGACCTGTGCCATGAAACTTGTACCTCATAATATACATTCATGCACTGAAGTCTGTGTTTAGGCTTTTTTGGTCACTAATTGAGGGTGAAGTCCTCCACAGTTTTCCAGGTTTTTAAGAACATTCGGTGCTTTTTCAGAGTTAATCTGCAAGACAGCAGCAATCTCAAAGTGCTTTATGCATTTTAGTAGAAGAAGAGCAGGATAATTGGGGGCAAGGACTACTACCAAACTGACAGTTACTGGGTGCAGCAGCTAGCAGTTACTTGTGTGATTTTTTTTTTATTTTTTTTTTCAACAAGGAAGTGCCTTTGTTTTTACATTTCTGACATAACTCCATGTGGGACATGTAAAATATTAATCCTTCTGCAAGAGAGTTTCTCTTGAAGTGCCCATATGTATAATAGATGGAAAACAGCAGCATAGACCTCCCTCCCTGCCTCGCTGATGTCTGAGGCCTTATTTACAATCAAAATCCACCCCCGTCCTTGTAGCATGAGGAGTGCTCTCGGACGGTGAGCTACCTGAAAAGGCTGGTTTTTATGTGAATGGACCAAGCGAGAGCTTTGCCCCAGATTCCTCTCTGTGAACGATTAATGTGGTGTTTCACTCACAGACACAAGCAGACTGGCTCCCTCCACCACTCCCTGCTGCATAATCTCTCTTATCTTTATTCACAAACCCTTGGAGGATAAACGCTTTGCAGACTTTCAGCTGCTCTCTAATTATTACTCATTTGCTATCAATGGTTTGTGGTTTAGGTAGAAATGCAAGCTGACCACTGCTTTTTAGTTTTTCATATACAGCTCCTCAGTGTTGACTTTTTTTCCCATGCCATTGTCCGTTGCTTTATGAATAAAAGCATGACTTTTACCAAGGTCTATACCAGTGTCACCATTAGTTTTACAAAGAATGAGTTGTATGTCCCATCGTTCTGCAAATGCTATTAAACTCTCACTGTCCTGAGAAGCCATCAGCCAGCTAAGCCAGTGCAATCGGCAGTAAAATGAGAGAACATGTGCCTTACTAACTGAATTTATCACCTACTTGACACCAGGCTATGCCCTCCATAAGATCCTCCAGTAAAATCTCCCATGTGGACAGAGTCAGAATTGTGCAGAATCAAAGGCTTATTTTGAAGTCTGCGACTTCTTCAAGACACTGCCTTACCCTGGGTGAGGTTACACTTGAGGATAGTGCCTGTCCTGACCCGGGCCACCATTTGAATTCGAAGTAGGGAGCGTGTGTGGCATGAAAACCTGAAGCAAAAGAGAAGTGGAATGATGGTTACAGGTGGAGGAGCTGATTGTACAGGGAAAGGAGCTTCAGGGAGAAAAAAGGAGAAATTCTTAGGAATTCCTAGGAAGCCTCAGTGTAGAAACCTGAGAGGTTTTAAGGATATAGATGGATTGCAGCTCATTTTTTCTTATTATCCTTTCATCTCTAAGAAGTACTAGAGCAGATTACATTAAGTCTTTGAGTATTTTTAATGATATCTGAAGAAAAACTAAAGAAAATGAACTAACTGGGCTGGGATCAGGAACTTGAGGAAAAGTAGAAGTGGTGTGTTAGGAAGATATTATTCTCTCACATGGTCTTTATATTAAAATATTTGATAGAATCATAGAATATCTCAAGTGGAAGGGACCCATAAGGATTATCAAGTCCAACTCCCTTCTCCTTGCAGGACTACCTAAAACTAAACCATATGACTAAGAGCATCGTCCAGACACTCCTTGAACTCTGACAGGCTTGGTGCCATAACCACCTCCCTGGGGAGCCTGTTCCAGTGACTGACCGTCCTCCCAGTGGTGAACCTATTCCTAATGTCCAGTCTGAACTTCCCTGATGCAGCTTCATTCCCTTTCCTCATGTCTGTCACTGGTTGCCAGAGAGAGATCAGCACCTCCCCTCCGCTGCCCCCCTGAGGAAGGTGTCGGCTGTGATGACGTCACCCCTCAGCCTTCTCTTCTCCAGGTGACCCAAGCTGCTCCTCATAAAGGCCTCGAGGGCCAGACTTTGCTATCTTGGTCACCCTCCTCTGGACACACTGACAGTTCGATGTCCTCCTTACATTGAGGTGCCCAAAACTGCACACAGTACTTGAGTGCTAGAGAGGAGAAAGGTCATCTGCTTCACTGAGAGAAGGCAGAGCCAGGTAGTGGGCACCCTCCTTGACTATCAAGGACTGTATCATACGTGGGCTCGTCCCGCTGTAAAGTGTGACTACATTGTAAGTGTTAAAAACTAGCATCACCTCTAGATATGTCCTAGCACAGTTAGTGGGGAGGTGTAACTGGAAAGCATGCCTGACAGACATTAAGGTACTCAAGTCAATGTGTAGAAAGGCGTGTTGTTCTCATTCGAATTATTTGTGAACCTTTTTAACTACAAATTATTTGAAAAGTATTAGCATTTATTTTGATGATACAATTCTAATGAAATAAAATAAATGGTATGAATTCCTTTCTGTACTTAATAGCTCCTGTGTGTCAGACTGGAAGCTCCCAATGTGCTCATCTGTTTCTTTAGGGAACCATTTTCTCCATGCCTTTTAAAGACTTTCTCCAGAACATCTTCACTTTTCACTGTGCAGAGTCCTGAGGCCATTATGCTTTACTGGGGTAACCAAGTCTGGTAGACCCTTTTTACTTATTCCCCCATGGTACAAATTATACTGTTCTTTCAACGCTGTCGCTGTACCTCAGATACAGTCAACAGCAAATGTTGACTTCTGTCAGGCGCTGCAACTCTGTATCTGTCTTTCGTTCTTTGTGTTTTCCTCCATGCTCCGTTATTTTCTGTAAAAGCTATTTATTACGTACTGTGGTCAGCATTCTGCCAGATCCATCTCACTGCATTTAATTAAGCTGTGTTGAAGAGTAGCCGAGCAGTTAACAGAAGTTGCATGCTCACAAAGCCTTGCCATAGGTTATTTTTCTCCAGCATGAATGTTGAATCATTGAATATCAGCTGAGTTTGAAATTTACCTGAATATGTTTTACTATTCCAAAGAGATTAGACAATGGCCCTGATTAGCAGCAGCATTTTGTAATACCACTTAAGGCTTTATCACAGTGGAGTACTGCCAGTAATAGTCTTTAATTCACTTATATGTACCAATTCATCTCTGTCAGGTTTCTATTAATTTCTTTGCTCTTTTACTTTGTCCCTATCCCCTATATAATAAGGCATGATTTCCACATTTATGTAGCCAAAATAAAATTAAAAAAAAATTAAATCTTCAGCAAATTAACTGTGGTCCTTTGATTTGAGACAACTGTGCCATCTCTCCGTTTATGTTCACGTTTAATCCACTTTTCACAAGTTAATGTGTTTAGGAGACTCTAGGTGGGTCAAGTGACCAAGAGGCAGTAACAATTTTACTATCTAATTTAGATAAAAAGTTTCAGGATTGGGTGAGGTATATTAACTGCAAAGTGGAGGGTAGCTGTAGAATTAAAACTGGGTGTTCATGCATACACACACGTGCATACACACTTGTGAAAAGCCACACTATATTCAACGTGAATTTTTTTCATCAGAATGATGACCAACTTCGGTTACAAAGGTGATTGCCAGAGATAAAGAACAAAATTGCTGCACACACTGTTTTGTTTTGTCTGGCACAGTGTACCTGAAGATCGTAAACGGTTGGGTTTGGGGTTGGTGCTCCAAATCTGTGTGATGAATCAGTGTCTGTGGTTGCTGTTGAAGCAGATCTAACTGTATATTTGTTCTTTCTTTTTCATTGTTAGGATTGGTGCAAAGCATCAGGAGTTACGGCAAAAGCAACTGAGAGGCCTGAGTGATTATTCCACTGGTCCTGGAGGACCTGACATCGATGATGATGAGGTGGATCCAAATTATGCCAGAGTAAACCACTTCCGAGAGGCTTACCCAGCAGCAAGCATCTACAGGCCATCATCGCCAGCAGTAGCAGAAACCTTTGTATATCCACGTGATTCTCCTTCAACACCAATGGAGAGGGAGCACTTGGAAGGACTGTATGCAAAAATAAACAAGCAGCACTACCCACAGACTCCTGGTGACAGGTAATATTGCCACCTGGCATTACAAACAATCATAACTTGGTGGGGAGGGAGCCTGGGGCTAAGCAGGGGAGCTGTTCAGATGCCCTAAACCTCTGTATTTACTGACTGGAAAGCCATGGATTTCCTTTTAACCAAAACCATGATTTGCTGCTGCAGTACCCCCAAAGCATCTGAGCAAGGCAGCAGTCAAGCAGAAATCATTAAAGAAAAGTCCATATTTCACAAACAGAATGAATGAACTGACTCCAGTCCAATTCCTGCACTGCTGAGAGAGTGTTTTTTCCCCTCTTTCAATTGGGAAAAGTTCTTACCCTGCAGCAAAAATAATCTCTGTTTTCAGATCCCTTTCGATCCTGCTGATCATCAAGTGCCTCTTAGTAACAGGGTTTGTATGAGAGCGTGATATACTGCGTATGTTTATGGTTTAGTTTTCCCCAGCTGTGTGATATTATGCACTTTCATTTAGGTTGGGGAGAGGACTGGGAATCGTGGCATTTTTATGCAGACTGTGAAGTGTGGCTTCACAAGACTGATTGCCTTTCACAGCCTTTCCAATAACCAAGTGGGAAGGAAAGAGCCATTTTTAATCCTTACTGTCAGGCTTCCAGGTTGATCGCATTAAAGAAAGATGGTCAAGTTTTTTCCTCAGGTTAAAAAGAAAACAGAAATTCCTTTTAGTTGACGATGTAGCCACCATTATGATGATTTTAAAACTGGTTGCTTCTGGAATTTGGGGCTAAAAACGTAAGACTTCATTACTATCATGGCATTAATATATCAATGTTGAGTTTTTCAAACTAATATATCAGTGTGTAGACAAGATTTACAAGTCTATGTGAAAAGAAGAGCTGACTGACTAAGACAGGGAGGACTTAAGGAATTGTTCATGCTTTGAGTTCATATTACAATCTGTAGTGTCTCCCCATGGCCTCAGTTTGTGTTATGTGATACCAGACTTGTTAATTTTGGAGAAATATGTGAGCACAGATACAGGAGTGTTTTCAGTTTGCAGCATCATAGTACTTTAAAAATGTCTACTGAGTCATTGTTATAAATAGTAATAAAACACGTCTGACAAATCTAAGTGTGTAGCAGGGAATGGGCCAAGTATTTCTCTTTTTCACCTAAATTTAGTATGGTAGAGATCTTTCCAAACATAATGATGTTGCTAATCATCTTCTTCCATATTATTAACTCGTCCCCTACTGCATAAGGGTGAAGAGGGTGAAGTAAGAGGTAGTGACCACGGCTTTTTGCCATCTAGTGGGTTTTGCTTTACTAGAAAAGTCTTGAGGTGGTTGTTACTGAAGTTGCACAAACGTTTGTATATAGCAAAGGGATCAGAAACCGAGTTCATACTAACTCAGTAAACCAAGATCTGAGAATTCCTAGCGGGAGGGAGTCTAAATTTCAGGTTCACGTATTTTTCAAATATAAATATATACAGATGTAACTCAATTGGAGTAAGACATTGTCATAAAGGTTGCTTCATAATGCCAGTTTTAACAGGGAATTTATAGCTTTACATTTTAAAAATGTCATCAGTATTAAAGTGTGGTCTATACATTGTTTTTCCATGCAGCAAAAAGAAATCCTCAAGTCTTTCCCTCTGGTCTCTTTTATTTGATTGCTTGTATCGTGGTTGTAACTACACTGAATGAACTCTTGACTTGCTGTGTGGACAAGATCGAAGTCCCAACCAGGTTTGGATTCAGTGTTGGGATCCTGGATTTTAGCATGGATTTAGCTGTAATTGCATGATAGCATGATAACTCAGGGAAAAACTAAAACCAGAACATCTAACAGGCGAGAAAGGTTACCTCATATCTGAGCCCGTGATCAGAAGTCATGCCGAGAGGCTGTTCCATCTGTGTTGACTCTGTACCAAAAGACAAACAGTCCGCAACAAGTTCGCTTTGTTGAATTTCTCAGGCTTGTAGAGGCTGTTTAACCAGATTAGGAAAAAATAGGAAATGTGGGATTCTTATTAGGCTGCCTTTGTTCTTTTTTTAAATCTTTCTTTCCTTTGTCTCAGAGACAAAAAGGTTGTTGTTATTCGCCAGCAGAAATGTGCCAAACGTGAATAATTTTATGTGAATTTATGCAGTGGGTCGTGAGGTCTCAGCCAGCAGTTGTTGAATATAGTGGCAACTTCAGGCGAGGAAATCTTTCTGTGCTAGAGGGAGAGGATTGAAAGGAGAAAGAGATGTGGAAAGAAAAATCCCTGGATAACACGTTAATTACAAAAACAAATCTGCTTTCAAGGGTCAAGTATGAAAACTACCTTGTCTGCCTCAAAATGACGGGAAAAGGCTATAATGGATGCTTATTAGCCAAACCAAAGCTATTTTGTGTTTGCAGGGCTGAACATTTATCAACACATTTGTCATGTAATAGCTCATGCTTTGGTCTTGCTAACACATGCATGCGCTCTCAAAGTTTTGCTATTAATTTTACTTTAGATGGATGGCTTTTTCTCCCACCTCTGACTCTCAACTTGTAATATAGTGTGTGGAGACTTGATCAGTGACTAAAGTAAATGGGTTTTGGGGTAGAGGGGGGATTTGAACATACAGAGAGTAGATTATTTCATTTCGGTCTGGAAATTCCAGTTATGTGTCATTAGGATAGGGAATTCAAGCTCATCATTTGAAACAAGAAGTTCATTTTTATTTTATTTTATTTTTGCAGAAAAATGTATTAACATAATTAATGCCTTTTAAAATTTGGAGGCCATTTGTAAAGTAAGAAGCTTAGTGGCCAGATAAGCGCTGCTCACAGTTTGCGTACACTTACTCACCTTCCCTTTTCTCATTGCCAGAATCCATCGAGTGTTCCTGGTTCATTCTTCTCAGCAGATTTGCAGTTCAAACTGAGAATCTCCCTCAGTATGCAGCAAAGCAATAGGCTGCACATGTATGAAGTCTGTGGCTTTCATCCTTACGAAGTATGTTTGCTGCCTCCAAGCACTGCTCCTCAGAGCACACACAGACCTGCTTCATGTCGCTGTTTGCATACTAAGGTCCCCTTTCCCTATGCTCGCATCTGGCATCTCAGGGGTTTTTGGGGGGTTGCTTTGTGTCTTACTTTAAACTGTTGTGTAACGTTGTTCTGCACTGCTTCACAATTGTTGATTTTCATTCTGACAATGACTATATTCAGTGAAATAGATGTAATTTTTTGTGTATATTTTGCTGAAAGCTTTGGAATTCTTAACTAAGAGAGGTGCTATATAAATGTAAATTGTCCTTATTAATGAATATAGCGAAAGCATTAGCATGATCAGTGTATTCTGTGAATGTTAAGTTAAAGAGAGTGAAAAAAAATTAGCTGGCAAAATCACACATTTCTTTGTAAATCAAGCATTTTTCTGTTTATTTCTAATTAGCCACAATTTTCTATAATGCAAATGGCATCCCAAAGGATGGTGCAGCCTGCACAGCCACCTTGTGCAGCTGGGAAACTCGCAGGGTCTTTGCCTGAGACGCTGTACTTTTCCCCAGCCTGCGGCGGAGGCTGGGTGATCTGTGGCCCATATGTTCCTGAAACAAGTGGTAAGTCACATCTCTCTGAGTTTAGTCATCAAGGCTGTACCATGACAGTGCTAAGTTGCACTGTGGCAGAGCTTAGGTGTCAGACCAAAGCCAAAAGAGCATATGCACAACAGTATTATCACTTAAATGTCAGGCATGTCACATGGTGCAACCCTTTCTCACATTTTGAATAAGCAATTTCCTCTTTTTTCCTCCCTTGAACATGGTGCTGTCAAGTATACCCAAACACCCCGAGTACATCTCCGGAAAGGTTCTAGAGACTTTGCTCAACTTATTTCCTCAGCCCAGAACTATGAAACATTTAAAGTCTGATGCCAAACTCATTGCCAAGTATAATTCTTCATTTATTTATGTGTCTTATCTTGGGGAATTTTAAAGTGCTGGTCTGACAAAAATGAATACAGTTTTCCTTTGTTTAGTGAGAATAGATTAGCTGTATATAGCTGTATCTTGTTGCAGATTTAAAAAAATACTAATAAAAACCCCAACACTGTTTTATTACACAGGGGGAGGGTCCAAAGTCTCAGTCTGATCCAGCTTTCCGTCTTTGGAGATGCTATGTTGGGTCCCACTGTGCAAGATCTTATACTCCACAATGTTAATTAATTAATTGAAAAATGGATCTTCCTTATTTCAGGGTGAAAGTTTCCTTATGGAAACTTGCAATCTTCCAGAATGTTCAATCTAGCAGCACACAAAGTTGAAAATGGGGAAATGAAACCAATACCTCTGCACAACCCTATCTCTGCTCCTTGCGTCCTACCCTCAGAGCTGGCCAGAGTCATGAGAGAGAGGGGCAAGACATGAAGCAGTCTGCCTCTCCCTGGAAAGGATCGAAGGAGAAAAATGCTTTATGTGTCCTGAGAGACCAAATGGCAAATGTAAGCTATGTGTAAGCCTGAGAGGAGAGTAAAAAGGATCTGGAGTTTTGAAATTCAGCGAAGGGAGCATTTTCTCCTAAAGAGCAGGCTAAATGCTTGTCTTCTGGGCAGGTATAGTTCCCTCCTATCCTGCTCAATCCAAGGCCATAGAAATCCAGAGCCGCACAGAAAAGGCTTTGTTCGAAAAGGGCAAGTTAGGGTTGCCCAGGTATGGTACTTAGCCCTGTATTTCTAGTCAGCCAGAAAACGACGTTTTCTTGTTCTCTGTACAAATTATAGTTGGCATTGCTTACTGCGCATCCATCTACAACATCTTTATCACTGCATAGCCAAGAAGCAATCCACTGCTCTAGGAGTGGATGGTCCTTTACTCAGGAATGGTTATTCTTTCAGATGGATAGTGTGGAGGCAAGGTCAAAATTGAATGAGGTTGTGTAATATCTACATACGCTTTGCCATTACACCTTGTGTTACACTGGAAGGAGAATTATGGTCATGCATTGAAATAATTTACAAAGCTTGGCAAATATGAGTGAGCCATGCACTTGCACCCCATAGCTGCTTC